CTCCTTTGTCAAGTTTAGCACCATAACATCCTCACCTCCTTAAAAAAAACATTCATTCAAAACTAGGTAGAGCTTCTACCTTGCATCATCAAAACTATCACACGAAATTTATTTTGTTTTTTCACAATGCAAAAAGAATACAGATATTTTAAAATATTTCAGATTATGCACAGGCAGTCCTTGTTTTGTGTTGTTTTACATTTTTCCTATAGCTGCCCATTAGACAGTCTCTAAAATACCCTTGCATTTATTTCATTTGTCCCCCTTGTCATTGCAACCCACCGCTAGAATACTGTGGTTATTTAAACAAGCGTGCATCTGCACCCCTCCTGGCATCCTATCTGTCAATCACCTCCCTGGAAGCTACTGCTTGAGGTATCAGTGTTCAATGCGGAGATGAACACAGCGGCAGGAAGAGGCAAAGTGAGCACTTCAGTTTCTAGAAAAATGCCATCTGGTGGCGAGAATGAGTAGTTGAACCTTTCCTGTGAGTCAAAACAGGTCACAGGTAAAATGGATGGCTTGATCTTGTTCTGCTTCCCAGTGAATCTTCCAGATCGACATTTCGGTGGAAAAGCAAGGACTACCTGTAAAGTATCCTAAAATGCTACATCAGTTAACAATCGGTTTTATAAAAACATGAAAATATCCTCCCATGTCAAAAGCACTTAATGGCGATGTATCAAAAACACAAGTATCTCTCAAAGAGGAGTAAAAATAGATTATTTCCATGAATTAAATTCAATAAATAATACTTTGTAATATAGTGTTCTGTAGCTTTTGTAACAATATTTATTTAAAGAAACTTTCAAAACAAATCTAAATCGACAAGTAATGAATGTGCAATTTAACAGTATACTGAACATCTGAATGAAAATGCCAGCGATTTTTTTCTGAATATCATTCAGATATTCAGTGATATTGAATATATCCCAAATGGGCTCAAACATCACTACAACTATTAATAATAACACTCTGAAGTTATAAATCCCACTCGCTCTCTCTTTTCATTTAAAAACTGCGCTCGGGGTTAGGTAGTCAAATTATTTCGGTATAATTTAATGACTGCATG